GGGCTGCCGGTGGAGCCCCGCCCGCCGGCGTGCGGCGGCCAAGATGGCGGGGTGGGCCGGGCCGGGGCGGCGGGAGGAGGAGGAGGAGGAAGAAGAGGGGGAAGGGGAGGGGGAGGCCCCGTGGAGCCCCGGGCCCCCGCCGCCGGCCGGGCCCTCAACCCGCTTCTTCCTTCCCGCCCTCCCCCGGCGCGTTTCATCCAGGAAGGCGTGAAAACAGAGAACGACCACATCAACCTGAAGGTGGCGGGGCAGGACGGCTCGGTGGTGCAGTTCAAGATCAAGCGGCACACCCCGCTCAGCAAGCTGATGAAGGCCTACTGCGAGCGGCAGGTAGGGCCCTCGGGGGGCCGGGGGCTTCCCTGCGCTCGCCCCCGGGACGCTGGGCACAGCGGTGGGGGCTGCGGCCGGGGGGCAGGGGCCGCGGGCGCTGCCGGCTCTGAGGCCTTGGGCCTTTTGCCTTCGGTGGGTGGTGCTGCCTCTGCGCCCTCCGGTGCTCCTGGAGCTCTCAAAACATCCCGCCGCAGCGCCGCACAGTATTCTCTAGTTCTGAGACCCCTTCATTCTCACTTTTTAGCCCAGTAACCCTCGGTTCTGTCACCTCAGGACTTCACCAGCTCTATAGAGCGTATGGAACAGGTGCAGCGGAGGGCCACCTCTCCTATGAAGACAGGCTGAGGGAGCTGGGATTGTTCAGCCTGGAGAAGAGAAGGCTCCGGGGAGACCTTATAGCGGCCTTTCAATACCTGAAGGGTGCCTATAGAAGAGCTGGGGAGGGACTCTTTGTCAGGAGGTGTAATGATAGGACAAGGGGAAACGGTTTTTAATTGGAAGAAAAAAAGATTCAGATTAGATCTCAGGAAGAAATTTTTTACTATGAGGGTGGTGAGACACTGGAACAGGTTGCCCCGAGAAGCTGTGGCTGCCCCATCCCTGGCAGTGTTCAAGGCCAGGCTGGATGGGGCTTGGAGCAACCTGGTCTGGTGGGAGGTGTCCCTGCCCAGGGCAGGGGGGTTGGAACTCGAGGATCTTTGAGGTCCCTTCCAACCCGAACCATTCTATGATTCTATGTTTTCTGTTTGGGAAACAGCATGGAGCAAACTGGGCGGCTGTTCCTTGGTGCCACTCTGGGCTAAATGGGAGAGGGGTTTATCCCCACAGCCCAGGTCTGGAGCCTGCAGCCCCCCAGTGAGGTGATGTGGAGGAGAGACTGGGGATGTGAATGGCGTTCGGTGCTGGTATTACCCCTTGGCCCTTACTTGCAGGCTCTTTTCTTTGCTTTACCTGAGCCTTATGCTCTGCCCTGTCCCGTGCCCGGTACTGTGTAATGCCTCTGGGGCCGGGAAGGAGAACGGAATGTGTGCAGGCTTCGGAGAGGTGCAGGGAGTTCCTGGGTGTGTGTGGCTGGAGGTGTGAATTACATGGAGGTTTTGGAGGATTTTAGAAGGCAAAGCAAAGACTTTGATCCCCGAGGTGGGGAATAAAGACTGTTGCGTGTGGTTAAATGCTGTCAAAACAGGATTCGGTCATGAATTCAACTCAAGTTTTAAGGGCAGCATTAACTGCCTAACATATAGACCCCGGCATTTTTCTAATAAACCTTGCAAGTGAAAATTGCCTAAGGTTCTGCAAGTTCTTTTTTTCCTCAAGCAGTCTTCTTTGTGGTTCCTTTTTTCATCAGAAGATAAAGAACTAGAAGTAGGAGCAGATGCCTGGCGTGATTAACCATGGGTGGTTGGTCCTGATAGCTAGTTACACAAAAAAGGAGTTTTTTCTGACATTTAAAAAAATTTTTTCCTTTGAGTCAACTTAGTGTAGTGTAACTTCTCTGACTGCATGAGAAACAATGGCTGCTCCTCCCTGACACGTCCTCTGATGCTTTATAGAATGGACCTCTTCTTAAATTACCTTCGTAAATTAACTTTTGGTACTTGTGCCTTGCAGAGCCAAAGCTAGGTGCCAAACCTGGCCCTGTGGGTCCATATGGAGTCCTCGCTGTGCCAGCAGCGCAGCGGGACATCGCTCAAACAGCTCTGCTTCCTCAGGCAATACAGCAAGATAGATGCACCAAGTTTCTTGCCCAGTTAACTTGTTAATATTTGTTCTGACGGTAAATCCATAAGTGTTTTGTTTGGATTCAAAAACAAAAGCGTGGTTTCTCATATGAATTACTTTAAATTTGCAGGGCTTGTCGATGAGGCAGATTAGGTTCAGATTTGACGGACAGCCAATTAACGAAGCAGACACACCTGCACAGGTATGAAAAACACTTTTACTGCAAATTGCTGTACAAACATTTTGATGTCTGTGCACAGATCAAAGGGGTTTAAAATCAAAAAGATTCTGAAATACTTGCCACAAATTTAGCATGTTCCAGGGTGGGATTCTTTTTTTTTTCCAGCTTGAATGTTTTCACTGCTGTGGGGTGGAGGAAAATGCATAGGTGCTGGTGTGGAAGGGACCTGTGGCAAGCGCTGGTGTTTTCAGCTCTGTCCTTCTGCCTCAGCCTGTTCAGAGATGGCGCTGAAGCCGTGGCTGCCATTGGCTCTGGCAGTGCTGAGAAGATGGGGAATTTCTTGGGCTGGCAAGGCCAGAGGCAGGGGACAGAGGGGACGCTTGGCTGGGGGGGGGGGGGGGGTGTGTGGAA